TTGTAGGTATTTAATTTTTGGACATCATTTTTTATAATATTTATTTAACAAAGAAATCATAATCAAATTACATTTTGCATTCATTAATCCAATGAACCTTTTCTCAATTAAAGAACTAATTTATCAACCTGGACAGAAACTGATTATTTAATTTGTTGTTCCGATTTAATTTCCTACCAAAGAGCATATAGTATATTAATTCAAAATCTCCCCCAATTACTTAACTACAAGTGCAACATTTAGTAAAGGGAGGAAATTTACTCAACTCCCCACTTTAATAACACGCCGGGCTAAATTTCATTTGTATAACGATCTCAAGTAAACATAATTCAATCGATAAATTTAGTTTGACGGTATTTGATGTGAATGGAACAGTTGAGTTGGCGGGATTAGTTTGTATTGTTTAATGATGAGATTTTCTAGTTTGTGACAAGCTTAAGCGTATATAACTAAATTAATTAATAACACATTAAGTGATGCGTATAATACATCCGTTATTATTCCTGAATTGACATTAATTACATTTTGAGAATATATGTATATAATACACGGCACAACTTTGCTGCATACAAGCTTAATATCACATTTTAGAGATTAATCATAATTTAATCGCTGGTTGATTATATCCGCACGTGGTGTATACATTTACGGGATGAGTATTAGGTTGTAATGCTTGAACATTTTCTACTTTATATCCCTCTTCATCGCTTTGGATTTCGTCCCGATATGGAGTCGTCCTCGTGAGCTTACGATATCGATCCCCCGGAAATAATGCGCATTCATTTATATTTTATATTGTGGCAGCTGGGCAAGTATACCGAGTGATGTGGAAACTACAACCCCAAGAAGGCGTTTGGAATTTTTTTTACCAAACTTGGCTCAGAAGTTTAATTACTCAAAAACAAAAGTAGTAGAAGACTGTTTCGCCAAGTTCCCTAATAAAGGTCGTCCTTTGAGTTAGAATTATAAAATTAATACAAGGTCACTAAAAGCTTAATAAAAATAAAAAAAATCACTAGTGGCTGCCCTGATCCTGCTGGATAGATCCCTATTTATCAATTTGTGGTTGGATTTCGCGTTTTACTGCCATCTTTAATGACGATGAAACCTGCAATCTGGTTCGATAATGAGTTTTTATATTTGTCATCGTGGAAAATCCAGCTTTACATAAATATGTGATTGAAAAATGTTTAATGCCCTTTCAGACACTGACAAACATGCTTACAGTTTTTGTTTGGAATTCGGCTTCTTCGGCAAATGAATACTAGCGAAGTACTAAGGATTCTACCAGATCACGAAAAAGCTCTGGCTAACTTCCGGCATCTCACTTTGAGGCCTTATATCTCTAGAACCGTAGGTGTGGCCGGTTTCTAAAGCACAATTAAGCACTAGGGACGTTGCATGGGGACGTCATTTGTGCTTCATATCAGTAGCTAACCTCTTGGATCCGATATCTTCGGACTGGACCCTGTATAATTACGATTCAACTTCACTTAAGGGAAGTTGGCTTGATCGATTAATTTTATGTTTGATTTGATTTGAAAACGTCAAAGTAATTTTTCACAGTAAAATGTGTCTCCGTACTCGGTATTTCTTACAGTTTTTTGATAGTTTAATGTGGGATTCAGTAAACAATAATTTTGATTTTGGATACAGGGCACATTCTTCATTCATTCCTCTCTTTTTTACCAAAAATCGACTACACCAACATTTCTCGGGAAACTTTTTCTTATTAATTTTGGGGCGTAGAATCCAAAACAATTCGTACTTTTTCGATCAGACTTCTCAATCAAAAGTTATAGACTAGAAACCAATTTCAAAATAAAATTCAAAGGACTGTAACTTTTGCACTAGTAGCCCAATCTTGGAACTCTTTGAAATTATGGATTCTACAGGCCACATTCTATAAGAAAATTTTTTTCCGGGTCGATCTGAGACAATTTTTTTTTCGGTGCTCAAAAAAAGGCAGTGTATAACCTTCCTTTTTTACCAAAAATCGACTACACCAAAATTTCTCGGGAAAACACTTTTTCTTATTAATTTTGGTGCGTAGAATCCAAAACAATTCGTACTTTTTCGATCAGACTTCTCAATCAAAAGTTATAGACTAGAAACCAATTTCGAAAGAAAATTCAAAGGGCTGTAACTTTTGAACTAGTAGCCCAATCTTGGAACTGTTTGAAATTATGGATTCTACAGGCCACATTCTATAAGAAAATTTTTTTTCCGGGTCGATCTGAGACAATTTTTTTTTCGGGGCTCAAAAAAAGGCAGTGTGTATAAACCTTCCCTTTTTACCAAAAATCGACTGCACCAAAATTTCTCGGGAAAACACTTTTTCTTATTAATTTTGGTGCGTAGAATCCAAAACAATTCGTACTTTTTCGATTAAACCTCTCAATTCTCAATTCTTTGCTACACATACATATAAAAGACAAATTAAGACTAGTAAAATGAAAGCATGCGACAACTTCATAAATAATGCCAGTAACCCGGTAAAAGCAATGTGGACTATCATAAATACACAGAGAAACTTGAACTCACCCCACAATTCAACCAAAATAACCGCTGACGATTTCAATACCTATTTCGCAAATGCAGCTAAGGACACTTACGACCTCGCTGACGACTCTATCCATGGAGGATACACTGACTCTAATAAACCCGTTCCGCCAAAGGCCACCTTTGTATTTAGAACTGTATCGCCCATCATTATAAGGGATGCGTTTCGATCTTTGAAACGAAGCAACACCAAGGACATTTATGGTTTCAATACTAAGTTGCTAAAACATAATATTGAAATTCTAGTAAAACCTCTGACCATTATAACTAACTCCATCATTAGCAAAGGAGCCTTTCCTGATGAGCTGAAAAAGGCAATGATATTGCCTCTTTTTAAAAAAGGTGACAGAGATGACGTTGGCAATTATAGACCGATTTCCATACTTCCAGTCTTTTCCAAGATTGTCGAAAAAATATTACATCAGCAGATGATATTTTTCTTCGAATCAAATGATCTCTTATATTCTGACCAATATGGTTTTAGAAATGGAAAGTCTACTTCCAATGCCATAATCAAGCTGGTAAATGGTACATTGGAATGTTTTGAAAAGGGTCAATACAATGTCGCCGCCTTCATCGACTTATCAAAAGCTTTTGATCGCGTATGTCATGAGATCCTACTACACAAGCTGAAGCATCGTTACAATTTTAGTGAAACAAGTTGCATGCTAATTGAGTCATATTTGAAGAATAGGTCTCAATATGTATTATGCAACAACTCTCTATCGCAACGATCTATTGTGAACGTCGGAGTACCACAGGGGTCCATTCTGGGACCTTTGTTATTCCTCGTGTACATAAATGACATGCCGGAGAGTCTACCGCCAAAGATCGACTGCATACTATACGCAGATGATACGACGCTAATAGCAAATGGAAGCAATCCGGAGGAGGCACGGGAAATTGTCAATGACGGGATGCTGCACATCGAGAGCTGGTGTGCGAGAAACCACCTAAAATTAAACACTCAAAAGACCTCAGTTGTGTGTCTCAGTTTGAGGAACCAAAGTGTCACATCTAGCAACATGCCGTGTGTTAACTTCCTGGGGTGTCTTGTTGATCGTCGCTTAAACTTTAATCTGCACTGTGATAGTCTTTGTGCGCGAATTAATAAGTCCATTTTCTTACTTAGACGTCTAAATGTTATTTCGTCAACAAAAGTGGTTAAAAACGCCTACTTCGCCCTAATCCACAGTCTATTATCGTATGCTATACTGGCATGGGGAAGTTCTCCCTCATCTAAGCGCATTTTTAAACTACAGCGTAAATCGGTAAGAATCGTGGGAAGTCTGAGGTACCGAGAAGATTGTCGCAATGTTTTTAAAGAACATAAAATACTAACCCTTCCTAGTGTTTACGTACTTGAAGCTTTATGTTATGCAAAGAAGAACGAAGGAGAACTTATAAGACAATTTAACGTCCACCAACACCACACTAGACGAAAAGATCTCGTTAGACGTCCATTTTCTCGCCTTGCTGTAACTCAAAACGGTGTACTTTATAAATCAAAGTGCTTGTTCAATACTGTGCCCCAAAATGTCAAACAATTGCCGTATAACAACTTCAGACACAGGTTAAAATCATTTTTAGTGACACATGTGTTTTATTCGCTTGAAGAATTCGTTGAGTCTAGTCACCTGATCTCTTAATTTTACATTTCTTTTTTTTATAATCGTGTCATTTTAATTCTGCAATTGTGTCTTGTTTGTCTCTTACATGTAGGTGTATAGTGTCTTATATTATTTATGTTAAATTTATATACAAACCCTGACAAGTGTAAAGACTGTACGGTCTCTCAGCACAATAAATCAATCAATCAATAAAAAGTTATGGACAAAAAACAAATTTCGAAAAAAAATTCGAAGGGCTGTAACTTTTGAACTAGTAGCCCAATCTTGGAACTCTTTGAAATTATGGATTCTTCAGGCCACATTCTATATGAAAATTTTTTTCCCGGGTCGATCTAGGACAATTTTTTTTTCGGGTCTCAAAAAAGGCAGTGTAACCTTCCTTTTTTACCAAAAATCGACTACACCAAAATTTCTCGGGAAATCACTTTTTCTTATTAATTTTGGTGCGTAGAATCCAAAACAATTCGTACTTTTTCGATCAGATTCCTCAATCAAAAGTTATAGACTAGAAACCAATTTCGAAAGAAAACTGTGTTATACCATTGAATAAAAACACTATTTATTCAATGGTTATACTAAGCAATAATCAGTAGGTAATTGATACAACTACGTTGCAGTTTCCTTTATCTATTTTTTTGGGAAAAACAAGTAAGAAGATTTTGAATAATTAACATCCCACCAATGCAATTTATGTGGGATCTTGTACTAATGGGGGCATCTCAATTGTTCAACAATCTCCAAAAATGTCTTTCTGTCGCGATTACGATAGTTAAAGCCACTCAAAGAAAATAGCAAATGGTTTGCACTTATTTATTCCATCACCGTCTTTACCTAATTATTACAGTATTATTAAATGTAGTAGGTTTCTACATAAAAAAGCTCACCACATTTGACGACTTCAGTGTCAGTCGTAGTACTTATTTCTTGATCGACCTTAATGTAATGTTCTGACAAAAACGAAATGGGGGTTCTGTTAAAGTTAAGGGGATATAATAATAATTCCGGACCGTAAGGTACAAGGACGTGGTAACAAGTAAAAAAATGATAGGTTCATTCCACATCTAAATCAAATCCATAGAGGTTTTCTTTCGTCCACGCCTTAAATTTCTGAATTTGATCCGTTGTCATATCGGATTTATAACCTCCAACGATACCTCTCCGGATGAACACGTTAGGTGCTGTCGTCTTGTGATAAACTGACGCGAACATGTCGACAACCGATTGAAAATTGACGGCCGGATTTTTTTTCATAGACTCAAAGCTTAGATGTTTTACCAAACCTTGGAGGGCATCGTCATTTATTTCTCTCCCCAAAAATTTGGCAACCTTTTTAATTACTGTCGAGAGATCCTTTTTCATGTCTGAATACTTGATAAATAAAATATTCGATCGATGCCTCTCCTTCCACACGCTGAGCACTGATTTCCAAAACGGTCCATAACACGCTAAAAAAACAAATGGTACAAGAGTGCAAACGAAACCATAAATAGTTATACATCTGCCTGCCAGGAATAGGTCGCAGAACTGATCGAATGTTCCATTATAACCTTCGATTAACTTACAATGGTGGTAAAATGAAACGCACGTGTCTTCAGGACTACGAAGCACGCTGATTATCTACAATTTTGCATTTAGGTAACAGTCGCGCAATTATCTATCAATAGGTACTTTCGGTTTTTTTGATCCAGTTCGGATTTGCTCCGGAAGAAGGGACCAATGCAAGTGTGTCTTAATGCAGCGTGGTTCGGGTAGGTTGTTGAGATAGGTCATGTAATCGCATCCGTAAAATTGGCTCAAGTCGACGATTTCACTGTCGATGTGCGCCGCACTTCTGTAAAGGGAACTCGTCGAGTCTTTCGGGCTGAGTCTTTACTTACTCAAGGACGGGAAAGCGTTTTAAGATGTCTTCGTGCGCCCCTTCGTAGTCGAGATTGTTGACTATTAACCAAATCATCTCTTGCGCCCACGTGGTCCCTATAAACCAAATGACTTATTCGAAAACATCACCGGGCCCTTACCTGTTTTCGGATGTGCCACTATGTATACGTCACTATCGCGTACTTCAAATTGGTTAATGGCTTTCTCGAATTTTTCATAATACACGGGCACGCAGAAGTTATCCTCGCCCACTTCAACGAATCCGCTACGTACTTCACATTTGAAGGTGTAATTTAAAAGGCGGTCAATCTTGTTCTTACTTCCTATCTGGCGTATGTTGGGCGACATGTTGATTCACCCTGTAACTGCAAAGAAACTAATTAAACTCATGTACGCTTAGGCATATACGGGTCGCTTTGATCTTACCAGTTAAAATCGAGGTTAAAATAGTGTTATTACTCGTAATACTTGAGAACACGTCAAATTCCTAGGACCAAACTAGCGGTAATCCACATTAAACGAATGTCATCAGTGTAACACTCCCATTTTTTTAGTGCTTTATGGTGGTTATCATGATTACAAAAATGTAGGTAATTTTCCCCTTAGGTAATGAGCAAATACGAAATAATTTAAAATTGATCCTGGGGCATCGCCGGTGCACCTTTACATGCATATTGCGCGAGTAATAAGTAACTGAAATATGCTAATAACAGAAAGCGCCTCTTGTGCAGCTTTGGCCCAAAATGTGACGATTACATTGTATTTTTTTTTGGTCATGACCACCGATGAGCTCAGGTTAAAATAAACTCTGTCATTTGACAGGAGGTGGATAATTTTGAGCAACGACACAGTAAATTGAACCTGTAACGGCAAAACCGGTGATTAAACTAAATCGCTATCTGAATATTCAAATTGCAGCTTATAATCAGATGTAGATTTTAAGTATTTTAAAACTCGTAGCAAATGTTTAAAGTGTTCTTTATTAGGGCAATCTTGAAACTGACCAAAGTAACTGATATCTGGTCTGGTTCGCATCATAATATACATACCATACCCAATAATTGTCTTTATAAGGCAAATCAGTTTTATCGTTCTTTAAATTCTTTTCAATTGGAGTTTTAAAATTCTTACTATCTTCAACATTAAATTTCTTAACTAATTTTTCAATGGCTGACGTTTGGTCCATTGTTAGTACCTACCTTATTTAGAACATCTCTTTCTATTCTAATTCCCAAAAAGTTAAATTCATCATTTGATAATTTTAATTCCACTAACTAAAGTAATAAATGCGTGCATTCGGGAATCAATTTACCCTGACACATTAAAGATATCAAAAGTTATTCCTTTGTACAAGAAGGGAAATAGAGATGAGCTGAATAATTATCGACCTTTGTCAATTACTCCCATTTTTCAAAAATTTTTGAAAAATTATTAAAAAAACAAATAATGGATTACTTTGAAACAAATAACCTATTTGCTAATAACCAATTCGGTTTTCGTTACAAACAATCGACAAGTAGTGCAATATTGAGGTTTACGGATTACATTTTGGATAGTTTTGAAAATAGTGGGTTGTGTGTTGCAAATTTTTTAGACCTAACAAAGGCTGTTGATTGTGTAACTCACTCTTGCTTGTTGCAGAAGCTGTCAAGATATAATTTTGTGGACAAATCAGTTGCATTATTAGAGTCGTACCTAAGTAATCGCACACAATATGTTTATATAAAGAATCATGTAACTAGCTACAATGAATTGAGGCCTATAAGTATTTTACCATTTTTGTCTAACATTTTTGAGAAATTAATTGAAGTTCAAATAAAAGATTATTTGAATAGGCACAACATTTTGCCCAAGTTCCAATCGGGATTTCGTAAATTGCACAGTTGTCAAACTGCGTTATTAGACGTAACTGATAATATTTTTAAAGGGATTGATGACAATAAATTAACTATTTTGGTTTTGCTCGATTTTACACGTGCGTTTGACACTATTGATCACAAAGTACTATTTGCTATCTTTAAACATATTGGGTTTGATTGCACAACAATTACATTTTTTAAATCATATTTATCGTACCGGTCGCAAATTGTGCAATTGCATAACAAATTGTCAAACAAAAGCTTTGTTTCAGGGAGAGGTGTACCGCAGGGGTCGAATTTAGGCCCTCTGCTATTTCTTATATATTCCTCGCGACTTTTCTCTTGTTTAAAGTTCTGTAATTATCATAAATACGCAGATGATCTGCAGATTTATTTAACGTTTGATGAAAAAGAGGTTCTTACAGCTTGTGACAAGATTAAAGAAGACCTTAATAATGTACTTATTTAGTTTTTCTCAGAAGCACTCTTTGTTTGTTAATCCTAACAAATCTTGTGCAATCTTATTTGGCCCTAGGTATGCATGTGAAAGGGTAAAGCCTTTAATATCCATAGATATTAACGGCACGCCTATCTCGTTATCTACCCGCGTTAGGAATTTAGGATTGCTCATGGATGAAGGTTTAAGGTTTAACTACCATATTTCAAAGGTCTTACAAAATGTATATTGTAACTTAAAAATGATATTTATGAATCGCCACGTACTGAATAAGAAGATCAAAACCTTACTATGTGAATCTCTAGTATTATCCCATTTAAACTACTGCGATACACTTTATGATGCTTGTATTACTATAAAGGATAGTAAGAGAATACAAACATTGCAAAACTCCTGCGCGCGTCTCATATTTGGTATGAAAAAATTTAATAGCTGTGGAGATCAAATTAAAGAAATTAAATGGCTGACTATGAAGGATAGGCGAGAGTTACACAAAGCCTGTTTATTCCACAGTATAATATTGTTTAAAACCCCTGCTTACCTGTACAATAAAATTTCGTACCGAATGGACGTACATAATGTGAATATTAGGTTCAAAGGAAGCCTATCAATTATTAAACACAGAACGTCCCTTTTTAAAAGATCTTTCAGTTATCAAATTGCCAATCTTTATAATAGTCTTCCGAGTTCGCTTACATCGCTTCATATGAAACCGTTTAAAAGAATATTCAAGCAAACATTAAACTGTCGTTCTAGGAGATAATGCCAAGTTTCGTTTGGTTCCAGTTTTATTTTATTTACTCTTAATAGCATTTTTCTTTATTCCCACTGTGTGTTTCTGTATTGTTCTTCATACTTTTTCTTTCATCCTCTCGCCAGGGCATATTATACGTAATTTACATTGTCTAAGTAAACCTTGCAACTTGTCATCTTTTTCTTTTCTTTTTGGTTAGTTATGTTTTCGTGGTTAGGTGGAAGATCAGCAAGAGGAGCTGTCTCCCAATGCTGAACCTCGCCACTAGGTTTCTTTACCTTAATTGAAATTTTTGTTTTACATTTTGTTTTACATTTACTTTATATATTTATGCAAGGTAATGAAATAAAGGCATTTATTATTATTATTATTATTATTTTAATGATTCCGAATCTAATTTTAAAGAAATTAATACGGGAGTGCCGCAAGGTTCGGTACTTGGCCCTGTGCTCTTTTTGATATACTTTAATGACATTACAAATGTTAGTCATGGGAAAGAATTGATTCTGTATGCAGATGACACTACCCCTTTAAGCAGATGTAAGAATCTGTGTGATTACACTACCAGTTCACTTAATAGTATTAAAGATTGGCTAAATGATAATAAATTGCACATTAATTCACAAAAATCGCAAACATGTACCTTTAGTTTAAAAGAAATAAACCATTTCAATAACCCAGCAAACATAAACTTTCTGGGTGTTTACATTGACCCTAAACTGAATTGGAATGATCACTGTAATAAAATTGCATCGAAACTGTCAAAAGCATGTTTTGTTTTAAGAAGTTTAAAAATGATTGCCTTTAGACATATTGTCATTAATGCGTACTATGGTTACTTGAGTTACGCTATAATTGCATGGGGTCACTCGGCAGGTATTAAACGGGTCTTTGCAATCCAACGACGTGCATTGCGCATTGTTAGTAATTTGGGATACAGAAGCTGTTGTAAAGGTAAATTTATCGAATATGGTATTTTAACTCTCCCTTGTGTATAGGTACACTATTAAATTGTATAATTCACTGTAAAGAAACTCATTTGAATTACCAGACAGGACGTGATATCCATCAATACTCTACCAGACTGTGTGATAATATTGCTTTAAAACGAATACGCCTTACTACTAGTAAAAATTGCAACAATTATTATTGCATAAAGTTTTATAACAAAGTACCCTCGGATTTAAAAACACTGCTTATGAGTAAATTAAGAAATGCTGTGATTAGTTACCTTAAGAATAACGCTTTTTACACTTTTGATGAGTTCCTACTAACTGATTGGTGTTCTAATATTCTGTGATATTTTGTCTATTTTACTTAAGTGTTTTACAGTATTTTAACTTGACCTTTTTTTATGTTATTTATGTGTATAAATTGCTCTGTTAGTAGATGCACTAGTTTATAGTAAGTTGACGACACTGATATAGTTTATATACTATGATAGCTAGAACATTTAAAGATTAAAGATTATGCTTTAACTGCTTTAACCCATAAATCGACCGATTAAGGGCCAGTTTTACAATTACACTTTTACGGAGAATAAGATATTCTGGGAATATCTGCCATAGCAACATGTATGCCATTGGTTGACACAATGGTAACCAACGGAACCGTCAACATTTATTCTAGGTATAGCTTGTTCTCGGTATATACCTTCATTGTAGAATCGGCCCTTAGAGGGCAAACTTTATTTTTGCCGTTGTCTGAAACTTTTAACCCTTCTGGTATTTTCATTAAAACCCTTTCTTTTAAAGTACCTACTGTGTAAAAAGGCGTTTTAAAAATTTGTAATCAAGCGGTATCTCTTAAATTTCAAGAAAATATTGTGCGGCTAACTTCTCGGGAACCGCACCACTTTGAAGAAGAATATTTTCGTTTTAACCAATATTTAGTAATTAATTTGTAATAATCTGTAAGCATAATCTCAAAATTTGTAAGCCACTTTATTAGTACTTACAGTCCAAATTACGCTCTGGGAGCTAACTTCGCACGAATGTCCCAGAACCTAGAGAAACGGTTAAAATTGTCTGCATCTTTAAATAGTAATTAGTAAGTCGTATACGCATTATCTCTTTTTTTGTAACCCAATCACAATGGCGCAAACTTAAATTTAAGTATGTCCATAAAATACTACATGCACACAGATTTCAAATTAAATTTTAATTTGATGTTTACGTATTACTCGAAATAATAGGTTATTTGAAAGTATTAATGAAGTAAACATCTGACTTTGCAAGTGAATTTCCCAATTCTGGGGCACTCCATCTACATTGGAATATGAACATTTTGGTTGCATTAATAATTAGTGTAAAAGAAATGGTTAAATTTGTTTGTATTTCTAAATAGGAATTAGTAAGTCGTATGCACTTACTAATTTGTAAGTTACTTTATTACTATTTAGAGTCCATAATGCGTTCTTGTGGGGCAACTTCACGAATTTCTTAAAGCAGGGAAATGGTTGTATTTCTAAGCAATATTTAATAAGTCGAAATTTGTAATTATAGCTTCATATTAGTAACCCAAT